CGCCTTGTTAAATGCAAGTGAAATTTTACTGCTCATTTTGTAAGCTAGATTTACAGATAAATCATCGATACCGATATTAAAATAAGTATCGATATCCAGTAGTCTTTGCTTACCTACCAGTGCTAGATCTAAAGGGACCGCAATTGTACAGGAGTGCAAAAATAACGCTCTATCTTTCATAGCTGTATACTTAAAGTGTTACAAACACATGAAATAACCCCCTCTCACAAGCTGAAGATATTACGAGTAGTTATGCCCATTCGAATTTACCTTTTTGGAAGCTCATGTTGTTATGAATAACTTGGGGTTCGAAAGGGGATAACACAGGTCAATTTCCGAATGTTTTGCACTCAAATTGTTCTTTGTTCCTGCACAATGTTGTTATTCAAAATTATCAAACAAGCTTATATCAGGTAGTATCATTTCATTCAAAGTCAAGCTCATTTGAAAGATTTTGTATAGAAAAATGGAAATCGTTTCCTGACTATCCTTTCGAGCTCCTTATGTCTAAGTGGGTCAATTTCTTCTATTATTTCATAGGACGAACATCTAGAGATACCAACTTGGCGTGTTTTGAATGAGATGCATGCCTTGGTTACGAACCAACGCAGGCGGTTTTAGAAGGCCACAAACGCACTCAAACTCAGATTGACGCTCACACACTTGACCTGCGTGAATGGGGATCCGAAGCGGGACCTGAACTGAACGGGAGATGATGCTCGGCTGGTGTGCGCTAACCCTCGTCTTGCGGGGGCCGGGTTTATGTCGCCCGATAAGCCTATTTCGGCACCTCGCCTTCGTTCCGGTCCCGTGTTAGTGTGGCTCGGGGTATGCGAGCGGAGCATCATCTCCATTCCATTTGGGTCCCGCACCAGACCCGCATTCGCGCAGCTCAAGTGGGTGTGCGTCAGTCTGCTTGAGTTTGTGTGCATTTGTGGCCTACTTCTAGAACCGCCTGCGTTGGTTCGTAACCGAGTTATACGTTTAATTCAAAACACACCAAGTTGATAGCTCTAGATGTTCGTCCAAAGAAATAAGAACAAAATTGACACACTTGACTTAAGACATGAGGAGCTCGAAAGGATAGATTTAGCCAGGAAACAAGACTTCCATTTTTCTAGACAAAAAATCTTTCAAATGAGCTTGATTTTGTATGAAATTATACTACCTAATAAAAAATAAGCTTGCTTGATAGTTTTGAAGGACTGTTTTGAATACCATTGTGCAGGTGAAAAGAACAATTTGAGTGCAAAACATTCGGAAATTGATGTGTATACATATTATCCCCTTTCGAACCCCTGATCATTTCATAACAACAAGAGCTTCTGAAAGGTTATTCGAATGGGCGTATCTACTCGTAATGTCTTATATATACATATCAGCTTATGAGAGGGGGTTATGAATCATGTGTTCCTAACACTTTATAAATAGAAAGCTATAAAAGATAGATCAAGAGCGTTATTTTCATCATCGATGAACACACTCCCATGGTATTCATAGCGAAAACACACGTTTCCCGGCATGCGCGCTGTACACCAACAGTACACCCTGAGTGACCCCGGCGGCCTAGTGCCCCAAACATCCGAGGTAATCGGTTGCTGATATAAGATTCGCATCTCAGCACAGACGCCGGACAAGAGTTAACAACTATTACTATCAGTGTAGGATCTAGTAATTTGATTGTGACGCTCAAACCCTGGTGGTCCTTCGGGGGCCGGGTTTATGTCGCCCGATAAGCTTATTTCGGCACCTCGTCTTCGTTTCGGTCCCGTATCAGTCCGGCCCCTGGCTCGGCATATCATCGCCGTTCCCTTCGGGTTCCGCATCGGACCTGAATTCACACAGCTCAAGTGTGTGCGTCAGTCTGCCAGGGTTGGGTTGATTTAAATAAGTTGATTTAAAAAAATTTAAATCAACTTGATTTTTAAAATAAAAATCAGTGATTTAAATCACTTTTAAATTTTTTAATTTTTATTCAGTTTTTACATATTTTCACATTCAGAATTCCTTTCCTTGGTTTCATAAAACAGATATACGGTTTAGTACACTAATATATCCATGCTTAAAAGTCTGCTTTCCCTCCTTTCACTGTAAAATAATACAGTATTCAATATACTTTTTTTTCCATAATTGAAATCAGAGCTGGGTTGATTTAAATCAGTTGATTTTTAAAAATATTTTAATCAACTTGATTTTTAAAGAAAAATCAAGGATTTAAATCACTTTAAAAAAATGTATTCAGTTTTTACATATTTGAACATTCAGAATTCCTTTCCTTGGTTTTATTAAACAGATAAGGTTTAGTTGACTAATATAATCATTTAAAAGTCTGCTTTCCCCCGTCACTGTAAAATAATACAGTATTCAATTGACTTTTTTTTTCATAATTGAAATCAGGGTTGGGTTGTCAGTTGATTTTTAAAAATCTAAATCAACTTGATTTTAAAAATAGAACTCAGTGATTTGAATCACTTTAAAAAAATGTATTCTGTTTTTACAGCTTTAAACATTCAGAATCCCTTTCCTTGGTTTTATAAAACAGATATAAGGTTTAGTAGACTAATATAATCATGCTTAAAAGTCTGCTTTCCCCCTGTCACTGTAAAATAATACAGTATTCAATTTACTTTTTTAAAATCATTATTGAAATTAACATTTTCTTTTTCTTTTTAGACAAACACAAGCGCGCGCACACGCACACACACTGTAATAAAATGCAAGTTTATCTGTGCATAATTACCCCCCCCCCCCCTTTCCTTTTAGACTGATATTTTCTTCATTTTTTTGTCTGTAGCCATAATTCACTGATATATATATATATATATATATATATATATATATATATATATATATATATAGCAAATTAAGGCTTTCTTTTGCGGTTGCTTAAATTAATCATAAGTTAAAATAAAGACAATGCATTTTGCACTAAAAGAACATACTTTTAGCAACCAAAAATCCCAAACTGTCGACATTAAAAAAAAAGTAAAAAATCTGATTTAAATTAAAAAAATCTTGATTTAAATTAAAAAAATAACCAACCCTGCAATCTGCTTGAATTTGTGTGCGTTTGTGGCCTACTTCAAGAACCGTCTGCATTGGTTCATAATCAAGGCATACGTCTCATTCAAAACACACAAAGGTGGTTGCTTCTAGATGTTCGTCCAATGAAGAACAAATTGACCCCTGAAAGGATGGTCAGGAAACAAGACTTTCATTTTTCTACGCAAAATCTTTCAAATGAGCTTGATTTTGTATGAAATGATACTACCTGATAAAAATAAGCTTATTCGGTAGTTTTGAATACCATTTTGCCGGTAAAAAGAAGAATTTCAGAGCAAAACATTAGGAAATTGACCTATATATTATCCCCTTTTGAACCCCAGATCATTCATAACAAGAGTGTCTAAAAACGTTTATTCAAATAGACGTAACTACATGCTGATTGACCACGGCGGCCCGCCCGGAACATCCGACGCAATAGGTTGCTGATAAGATTCACATCTCAACGCAAGACACAGGACAAGAGTTCATTTATTTCACTTTAAAAAATGTCAGATTATTTCTAATTCTGTGATGAAAAATGGTGACGACGTAGCTATGGACAGCAAACAGAAATTTCAAATGATGTTTCATGTTTGTAACTTCATATTATTTTGTTACTGAATCTTTTGAATTTGGAAAAAAGGATGTTTTGGTGATTTGTCAGCGATTTTCTTTTCCATATTTATAGGCTCCCACTCCTTTTTCCTCTTTTGATTTTCAAATACTATTTTCCTTATATTCTATGCATGTGATTGTGATTCTGATGTACTGTGTACAGAATGAAAATGACAAATTACTTTCAGCTAAGATTTGTAATGTGATGTCCAAATACTCATTGCTTCACACCAGTAACTGATCCTCAGGTGTTGCTGGCCTTTCATGCAGAGATTGCTTTTTCCGCGTCTCCAGGGTCCCAAAGGGTTTCCCCAACTTGTTCTCATTGTGTTTAGTCTTTCAAAGTTACAGAGGAGGGAGAAGAGTACTGGCAGTTGAATAATTAATCTACTAAAGTTCAGCAAAAATCACATTCAAAAGGAGAGGAAGTAAAGAAGGTCATATTCTGATTTTAGACTGAATCTTGGAGGAGGGTCACTATTCATTTGTTGGTCCATTTGAAGGGTTTTCCGTACCTTGCACATGGTCAAGTGAACAGCTACAAAGTTAACGATAGATTTGGCCAGAATTTATAATCAAAGACTTTTTGGTTCTGGTTTAGCTGATGGTCTACCATGTTTCTGGTTTTCTGGTTGACTTGACACCCCCCCCCCCCTTCCCCCGATTTCTTGAAATTAGTCCCATCTGGTCACTTGCTGTTGAGACTCACTTATCAAACAGTATCGTTAACTCTGCAAAATTCTTTAATGTAAATGACACGACAAAATTTGATGCAATCTTCCCACCCACCACTGCAGTTGTAAAATACCCCTGTCTGTGATCTAAGAATGTGTCACGACACGGTGGAATCAGGCACCTATCAAGTTTTAGATGTATGGAGTTATTGATTTAAAGCCTTGCTTTTGATGAAAAAAACACCTGTTTATATCTTGAAAGTGAGTCAAGATATTTGCTATTGAAGGAGGTGGGGGTTGCCGAGTGTCAAGAGAAAAATTAGTGAGAAAACTGCTGCCAAGGTGTGGTTACTTCCAAAGCTGTAGTGTCCTTGGAAACTGCAAATTCACATTTTGTTGCTTCTGTGACCTGTGAAGGGACTTATGAATGAATACAGTGCAGGTCTTTTATATGCTGTTTTTGGTTTGTTTAAGGTTGTCTTCACTCTGACTGATTTTTCTGAATGACTGGCCAAAATGGCAAGTAAAGATGATAAAGCTGGGGAAGCAGCAATGGCGACGACATCCTCTGAAGAAAAAGCCCCAGCATCTGGAAGCAAAGTGAGTTATAGGGAAAGATACATTTACGCTGAACAAAAACCCCAAATCTTTTTCTGTGTGTAGCTCTCATTTTTTACCGATAGACCGAAAAAAATCCAAGGAGGTTTAATGAAATTATTATTTTTTCACTCTGACAAAATTTCAAATTTCCTTTTTAAATTAAATACCTACCTTGTTTGGTCAGACTGGCTGATGTATGTTTGTCCATTATGTCCAAGGGAATTCAGACGTCCTTAATGTGCTTTAGTTTAACCCCTGCTATCAGTCTTTATCTGCCCCTCAGTATTGCTTCCTAAGATAGAAAAGAAAAGTGGAAAGGTTTTTAAATTTTTTTTATACTTATTTATTATTTGTTTTAAGATAATTGCTGGAGGTGTACAGGTATTATTGCCATTGAGGCTGAGTACACTGCTTTAATCTTCTCAATGATAAAGATATAAAGATATTCTGTGAGAATTAAGGCTGGACTGACCTTCGGAAATCAAACCGGCATGGTATTCGTAATTAGAACCGGGCACTGTAAAACTGGAATGAGCAAGGGAAAATGTGTCCATGAGTGTGGTTTGACATATATGTTTGGTGTGACATGTTGTATCTTTGTTGACTTTTAACTTTCTCTTTATTTCATTTAGATTTTTAAATAAAAGTTATAATTCAATTTTTGTGTGTATATTTCTGCTGTGTTTTTACCATTCCTGTAAAGCCACAGAAAATTTCAGGGACAAAAAATTATCATCTTTTTGTAGTGAAAGGTCTGGTTTGCAAAAAATAAAAAATGCTTTTATGGGGAAAATAGAAATATGGATGCCATAATGTGTCTCCATATTCTAGCCTGCCAATACTGCCTGCTTTGAAACTGTCTTGTTTTCATGGTATGTAGTTAGAGCCAGGCTCGAGCTGACCTGAGGCAAAGCAGCAGTGAAATGGTAAAAAAAAAGAATTTCTATCATTTTATTGTCATGCTCAAGGATTACTGTAAAAAAAACGGTACTTTGTATTTTGTTCAGCGTAAAGCCCGTCAGATAGAGGTAGAGCCACGCACCCCGCTCAAACGTCAGCGAGTTCCTGTGTCGAGGTTCCAGTCACCCCTGGAGGAGCTTGAGCCCCGTTTCAAGCCAGAGAAAGAGGACAAAAAGAAAGACGATGTGGTCACCTTATACAAGAAAAACACTTTCTTGGCTGTCCGTGGTGCCGAAGGTCAGTGTTTGGACATTTCACTTGGAGTTTGTCATTTTTGTAGAGACACAATAAAACAGGTCTCTTGTTGCTTTCAGCTGTTTTAACCCTATTTGTACGTCGTGTTGTACTATCGTATAGATATGACGTGGGGAATTTTGTGCCACCTTTTTCCAAACAGGAAATTTACTTGTTAATGCGATCTGTATGCTTTGGATCAGTCTGTCAAAATGATTTTTTTGAGAAATACTGCAAGTTCCAAAGCGTTCTTCGTACTAGAAGTATTCTAAAATGTGAAGAATACAACCCTGGGTGTACAAAATGACCCCAGGGCGTACGGATAGGGTTAAGATATCGGTCAAATCCTCAAATTTTTAAGATCTGTGTATTCAGTCCCCCTTGTTTCAACATAGAGACTAAAATTGAGTCCAATTAGAATTTGTGTTTAAATGTTTAGACATTTCTCTCAGATTTTGATAAGATGTCAGAGAGTAACTGTTTTCCAGGTTAAAGGACTTTTAGATTATCGTCGGAGAAATTTCTTTTACTGCCTGACATACAATTCTGTGGACAGACTAACCGTTAAAAAAAAAAAAAATCTATAATTTGCAGTACATGTCTGAGCCAAAAATTATGGCATTGAAGCAAGGGAAATTATGATGAATTGTCATTTATTTCATCTCTAGTAAAAATTTGGTTCAAAGTACTTAGATAGTGGGAGGTTGACGGGTGCTCTGGTGTGGTTTGCTCCTACTTTCCTATAAAAAATCTATTGTCTTTATCTCCCCTCCTTTTTTGTGTTTGTTACTCTCTTGCAACACCTGTAATCTTCAGCACTTATATATGACCTTATTGTGTTGCAAGTGCCGTAAAACTCCTACTAAAACTAAGTATTTAGATAATTAGAAAACTGTACTATTCTACCAGTGGTATGTTACTTGCTGCATGGAATGAAAATCCCAAGGAGATGAGAGTATTTACCTCTTGTGTTTGTCTCATGAAGGAAAGGAGGATGTATGTAATAGTCATTGCAATGTGTTTGTTGTATTGTTGTTGTCATCTATCACTTCACTGTGCTTTAGCGTTTTGTTCTGGTGTTTCTATTCCTGTCGTGTCTGTCCGCAGCAGAAATTCACTCTGTGTTTGATAATTGTGCAAAATGGCCGTTGCCTTTTGTTTTTGATAGAGGATGGGGAAAAATATTTGCTTCTAGATTCTAGTGAAAATAGAAATGTGGCAGAATAGCGGCTCACTCGGGATGGTTAGAATAGCGGCTCACTCGGGATGGTTAGAATAGCGGCTCACTCGGGATGGTTAGAATAGCGGCTCACTCGGGATGGTTAGAATCCTGTCTTGTAAACACTACTATCTGTAAATGGAAAAATCTTTGTACACAGAAAAAAAAAATATTGTGGGTGGTTGGCGGGTGCTCTGGTGTGGTTTGCTTCTTCTTTCCTATCAAACATCTATTGTCTCTATCTCCCCCATCCTTCTTTTTTCTGTTTTTTAATCTCTTCTTACACCTCTAGTCTTCGGCACTTATATGACCTTATTGTGTTGCAAGTGCTGTAAAGCTCTTACTTAAACTAAAACAAAACAAAATATTGCTTAATGTGAATCTGCGATCATTTACAATAAAACAAAATCTATTAGAAGCAGTATGCAGAATACTACCTATGTCTACTGGTGTTGGTCATCATGGTCCTCGCGCAACGCCAGCATCTTGGCTCTTGTGACGTATAAGAAAAAATGACGAGCGGTGTACGTCATATAGGTCACAAAGGGGTTAATCCCATAATATTAACCATCAACTCTCATTTTGCTTGCAAATGCAACTCAACAAATGTTCAGGCATTCTCCAAACATCCCAGCGGTATTCCTGCATGTTTTTTCATCATGTTGAATGAGTGTTGTTATAGTTTTTGAACATTTGTGTGAGCCATTGCCCTCTGTACCTCAGTAGTACCTGCAACTTGATGGGCTCAGTGACCGAATGACTGGTAGCTATGACAAGTTCCATTGTATTTTCCCCCTCACCTCCCACCTCCAGGTTCCTTCTACCTGTGTCGCACAGCCCAGAACATCTACAGCACCACCAAGAGACTGCGCATCCAGTGGCTGAGCCTGGAGAAGAGCCCGGACCTCTACAAGTTTGACTATGTGGACAGCACAGAGCTGGAGACGGTCCTCACAGAGATCACCATGGACAAAGTGTCCAAGACCAGCTACAAGCTCCCCGCCAGTGAGCAGAAGAGAGCCGAGAAGATCCTGGACCGGGCAATTAGGGTGGAGCAGGGGATGGCCACCGCTGATGAGGTGGAGGAGGAGGCTCTGGAGGAGATAGAGGAGGAGGAGGAGGAGGAGGAGCCCAGTGATGAGGAAGGTAAGCTGATATATGTGTGTGTCACGACGTGGTGGAAGCAGGCGCTCGTCAATTTTTGGGCGTGTGGCGTTATTGGTGTCAACTTAAAGCTTGTTCATTTGCCTGTCTTTCGATGAAAAAATGACCTTCTATGATGAATAGAAGTGGAGATTTATGCGACTGAAGGGGGTGAGGGTCGCCTGGTTTCTCTCTCTCTCTCTCTCTCTCTCTCTCTCTCTCTCTCTCTCGCTCTCTCTCTCTCTCTCTCTCTCTCTCTCTCTCTCTCTCTCTCTCTCTCTCTGTTCCCCCTTCTTTATCTGTCTCCTCCATTTCTTTATCTCTATCTCTATCTTCTCTCTCCTCCCCCCCCGCCCCTCAGGCAGTTGTGACCTGTTTCCCTGTATTTGCAGATGATGAACCACCCAAGAAGCAAGGTCGCAGTGCGAGGAAGACCCCAAACAAAGGTAGCTGTTTGTTTAGATGTTGAAGCTTAAAAGAAAATTGGATCTTATTTTGTCATTGTGTGTGTGTGTGTGTGTGCTTATGTTCGTGCGTGCTTGTGTGCGTTCATGCGTGCCTACGCAGAGAGAGAGAGAGAGAGAGAGATGCAGACTAGGAGCGGGCAGGAGCCGAGAAGAGTACCCGTTTCTCGCGAGAAATGCCCTTCCCGTCACTTCCCGGCCACTAAACTATTGGTCGGTACCGAGAAGTGATCCCACTCCTTGGCTTGACATAACGAGTAACGAGAGTGAGAGGTGTTGACGGAAAAAGCGGGACAGCCAGCGAGAAATGACACGCAGACAGTGTCACCCATCACCTTGCCATCCTGTGTCTGAAACTGAAAGGGAGGGGAGAGGGTTGATCAGGGCCTGGGCCTAGGTCTCCCGACCTCCCTTCACCGTCTGCGCCTGCTCAACAGGGCTAGCCCAGTTTGAATCCAACCCTCTACCGGCCTTCTCCTACTTGTGAACGGCGCGAGAAGAGAAATTGGTCTCGAGACGAGAAGCACTTCTGCGGTCCCAGCGAGAAGTAGGTCCGCTTTTCGTTGTTCTCGCTCGAGAAGAAAAAAGCGCTTCCTGCCCGTCTTTAATGCAGACAGTACAAGGAATTGTTGGATACTGACATGTATGCTGTGTTTTCTTGGGCTTATTCAAGTTTTACCAGTGTGCCTTTACTGCTGCATCCCTATTTTTGTCTTAGTTTCTGTTCTGCTATGGTTGTGAGTTTTTTGGGGTTTTTAAAAATCTGAACTTTTATGTCTGTGCTTCTGTGTAGAGAGTAGCGGTGCTTGCTAAATGGGTTATTTTATATATTTTTTTGTTTTTATTTTGATGTGTTTGAGGATGGAAATTTGTCAGTCATGAACTTTCTTTGATATCTTTTATTTCTAAAACTAAAAACTTTTTTGTTCAATGAATGAAAATTCTTTGATTTTTTGCCGTTTCTTAAACTAAAAACTGATTATGTTTAAAAAAAGTAAAGTTTGTTTTGACTGCTTCAAAAAAAAAATCCTGATTTCATTTATATTTAAGGATGATTCTTTGATTTCCGCATTTCTAAAGCTAAGAAATTGTTTTGCTTCAATTTAGGGGAAATTCTGTGAATTTTGCCATTTAAAAAATCAATCTGACTTTGTTTCAACTTAAGGGTCAATTTTCAAAGTAAAGGGCTGTTTAATATTGTTTTCCAGGTGGTAGAAGTAAAGCATCAACCCCCGCCAGTAAAAAGAAAGAAAAGGGTATGTACGATGTTTGTATCTATGTGTATGTATAATGTCTAATGTCTATATTTATGTGTCCATGTAATGTTTGTATTTATATGTATGTGTGAAGTTTGAATATCTGTACTGGAACAGCTTGCTTTTGTTTCTTTGAAGTCTAAGTCAGTAACGAGCCTGTCAGAACGTTGTATGAGGGGAAACATCTCAACTGAGGACTTAAATTACAAGAATTAAACTGAGAAAATCTTTAAAGATAGTTAATGGAGGCTCCAAGCATTTCTAATTACTTTTTGACTTAATTCTCTTATATTTATGATAATCGAAGTGCTGAAAAGTGTATCCCTTATATAAAATAATAGACGACTTATGTACAACGGTATGCCTCTTGTCAAGGATTATATTCCCTTTTATAGGATGGTATATTCCTTTTATAGGATGGAATATCCCTTTTATAGGATGGAATATCCCTTTTATAGGATGGTGTATCCCTTTTATAGGATGGAATATCCCTTTTATAGGATGGAATATCCCTTTTATAGGATGGTATATCCCTTTTATAGGATGGTATATCCCTTTTATAGGATGGTGTATCCCTTTTATAGGATGGTGTATCCCTTTTCTAGGATGGTATATCCCTTTTCTAGGATGGTATATCCCTTTTCTAGGATGGTATATCCCTTTTATAGGATGGTGTATCCCTTTTCTAGGATGGTATATCCCTTTTATAGGATGGTGTATCCCTTTTCTAGGATGGTATATCCCTTTTATAGGATGGTGTATCCCTTTTATAGGATGGTATATCCCTTTTATAGGATGGTATATCCCTTTTATAGGATGGTATATCCCTTTTCAGCAGTTTCCCACTTTTTATGTGATAAATATATTTTTAGAGAATGAAAGGGAACCTACCTGTGAAGAAGCAGATTGACCGAAGTCTGGAGTTGTATATTTTTTGTCTCCAGATAGCTTTTTTTAAGCTTGTACCCATATTAAAACTGTGCGGATTTCTCAATATTCAGGCCTAATTATCCTTTCCTATTCAACTTGGCCAGTAACAAATTTTGCACTATATATATAGTTCAACACGGCCACATGTGGTGGAGACACCACTGGCGTCTGCTGCAGGATTTTCGTGGTAGGCTTGGCTGTGATAAAAATACATGTAGATAAGTGACAGTGAGCTGTAGACTCTTTCATTTCTAGTGAGGAAAATGTGTCAGAGCTGGTGTCAGCAGTCAGAATTTATCTTTATTTCCACCATCCATCACAAAAGAATGAACATCAGAAGGTGGCTAAGTGCGGAGGAAATGGAGCAATGTGGACGGCCATTGTTAACAGAATATCACCAGGAAAGGGTTAAAGTAGTCCTCTTCGGTCTTGATGACAGGCAGAATTTTGATTTTGACTTGCTTCATGACCAGTTTTTATAACGAAGTGGCTTGCCGTACTTAGATCTAGGTTTGGCCCTATCGACTCAGACCTGTTAAGTACACAGGTCTCATTAGATCTACATCTAGTAATTATTCAAGTTTAAAGTACATGAAAGTCAGTAAGGCACCTTTTGGGTTTGTCTGAAATACAAATACTTTAGGACTTGCAAACTAAAAATTTCATTTACAATTCAGCCATCAATAATAAGTACGGCTAGCCTGATTGTCTAGACGTCCTTAAGTACGGCTAGCCTGATTGTGTAGACGTCCTTAAGTACGGCTAGCCTGCCAGTCTAGCCGTACTTGTCTTAGGCCCTACTATCATTAGAAAACAAGTCTCATTAGTAATTATTCAGGTTTAAGATACATGCACTGACATGAAGGCACCTGGTTTCGTCTCAAATAGAAATACTTTAGGTTCTGCAAACTAGAAATTTATTAACAATTCAGTAGGACTTTTTTGTGTCAGTCTAGCCATCATATTACAAATAAATACGATTAGCCTCTTCCTTTTTATAAAGGCAGTTGAGACCACTCAATTTGGGTTTTGTCGAGTGATGGTCATCTTTGTTGTTTTCTCTCATATGAACAAAGATCACTGTGGAGCAGGTTTGCCAACTGTCCCAAATTTCATGGGACCGTTCCAGATACGGAAATGGGGAATTTGAGAGAACATTTTTTAGTCTCCACTATATGCCCCAAATTTTGAACTTCTTTTCTGGTGTTGGTCAACTATTTTTGTTTGTTTGAATGAAGTGACAGTACATTTATGTTCGGTGTCCGTGATTGGGTTTTGAAAAGGGGAACTGGAAACACAAGACCAGAGATAATTCTGAAGTTATAAATGGCATTGACTACGGCTCAGACTTTCAGCTCCCTTTTTATGTTGATTTTTGCTTTGGCAAAAGGTTTCTGCTGAAATTTAGAAAGCAAATAGTTTAGTACAAATATTGGCTTGCCAGTTTGAACTTCTGTACTTTGCAAGTCCTGTTTATGGTTGTCTGTTTTGTATAGTGTGTCCATTATACCTGAAATGATGTCTTTTTTTTTCTCAGAGGCAGCAAAGCGACAGAAAGCGAAGGAAAAAGCGAAAGCGAGCAAGCAGAAAGATAAAAAGGAAAGGAAGAAAGGCCCAGATAGAAATTTGAAGCCTAATGGAAAAATTAGAATATTGGAGAAAGATCCATTTTTTGAGACTAAGTGAGTTTTCTATCGTTTTAGGCTCCTTTTGTTTTTTAATTTACCAATTAAAACATTTTTTTCCCACTATGTGTGTGGGTTTCCTGAGAGAAAGTCGTTGGTTTCTGTAGTGAAGGTAGATGTTTTTAACTGTTTTCTCCCCCCCCGGAGTTGGTTAATGTTTTGTTCTTTGGGAGTGTTGCAGAGAGGTAAAGCACAGGTGCTTGGAGGGTGCTACTGGTGGGCCCTAATTCTTTACTCCTCCTCGTATTGCTTCTGTCTGTCTGTCTTGCCTCTTCTCAGAGCTAAATGATAGTTATCATGTCGATATTTTTCTATGTCCTCAACAAACAAGTGACTAACCGCGGGGCAGTGCCACTGACTGAAGTGTCTTTAGGCCATTCCCAGAGGGGGGACATTTCTCGTTCAAGCATAGTAGAATTGTAAATGGGCTGACTCATGTCACGCTTATAACTGTGCCTGATCTGCAACAGGGAACTGCTGCTTTTTCTTTCCTTATCCTTACTATTGTCATTTTCCTCTACTTCTTTTGTATGTTTGTCACACTCTTGTGACCTGCTATTTCCGGGGTGCCTTGATAGTCGAAGCAGACCTTGTGTTGTTAAAGCTAGATAGGTGAGCAGAGTAAGTCTGATTCCCTGTAAGGACTTCTCTGTTGGCACCCACCCCTTGGCGCTCATATGACCTTATGCAGTTGCGAGCGCTGTAAAACCCTCTACCATACAAAACAACAACAAGTGACTACTGTGATGTTGATATGCTTCTCTTTACGTAAACGGACAAATAACTTGTCATGTGCTTCTCTTGGCAAACAAACAATTGCTCGTGGGCGGTTGGCAGGTGCTCTGGTGTGGTTTGCTCCTTCTTTCCTATCAAACATCTATCGTCTTATCTCGCCTTCTTCTTTTTTTATGTTTGTTTCTCTCTTGTAACACCTCTAATCTTCTGGCGCTCATATGACCTCATGCAGTAAAACCTCTACAAAAACTAAAACTAAAAACAGTTTGCACATTTTCATGTTTTGTCTGTTTCTTTCCTCCCACAACGCCCAACAGAGACAAAGTGCCTAAGATCTCGCCTCAAGTGACCACTAAGCTGATCTTCCGGGCGGTCAACATGGGTGACGTGGATGCCCTCAAGGACTTGCTTAACAGGACGGAGGGAGTCTGCCCCGTATGTTCTTCTTTCCTTTTCTTGTGTGTACTTTCTTGTACATGATCTACTCCCCACTGACACAATTTGTACACTTTCTTGTACATGATCTACTCCCCACTGACACAATTTGTACACTTTCTTGTACATGATCTACCCCCCCCCACTGACA